GTAAATAAATATTTAGTAACTTTGTGTATTTTTTTTTAAATATAATAGATGATTAAAATAAAATATGTGTAGGTGAAACAACTAAAGGATGTGATTTAATATAACTACCTTAATCCTTAAAAATTGATTAAAATATGTTTTTAGTAAAAAAAGTTTAAATATTAAGGAAAGTCACACACCACACGAATTTCTTTCAAAATTTCTAGTGATACTATTACAAATAATATATAGAATTTTTGTTTATTTAATTAGTAGTAACAAATATATATTCCACCATATATAAATAAAATAAAAATATAATATATTAATTTAGTAATAATATTATTAGTATAAATTTATTATTAACACTAGTAATAAAAAGGGTATTTCGTATCTACTTTAAAAAATTTAAACATTTTTTAAATAAGTTAATAATTACTATTTTTTTAAAAATAGTTATTATTTTTTCATGCATTCCTTTCCTAATTTTATCTTTAGATATATTGGTGGAAAAAAATTATAATACAAATATATGTAAAGGTATAATTATCTTTGGAAAATAGACACTAAATGAAGATATTTTTGTTCATATATTGTTAGATCTATACAATGTTTTATTTATTAATTAGTAATAAATATATGTAAAATTTTAGTACTATTTAAGGTATATATATATATATCACATATACATTAAAAACAATTGTTGGGTTGGTGGTTAAGTATTAAAGTGTGAAAACTATTTATAAAATTTTCAGAACAAGATAATAGATTATATTAAAGGATAATCAATTATTTTGTTCTTAATGATTTATGGAAATAAACAAAGAACAACTTAATAGATTATTTTGTAGGATAATAGATATGTGTAATAGGAGTAGCTCATAAGTTGTATTTTTTTTTTTAGCTTATTTTGCATGTGTGTGCTTTGTGCATGAGTCAATCTTTATCTATTCTGACTAAGAATGAGTATGATGATGAGTTAGAAACTTGAAAAGTTATTTTGAGATATAAAATAGAGTTTTTGTGACTCAAAATAATCGATTTTCATTAAATATAATCGATTATTCCAGCAACATGTGAAAAGGATGCCTTGCTGTAATAATCAATTATTTGTGAAATAATCGATTATCCCAGGAATCACTCTCTGGAATAATCGATTATCCTACAAAATAATCGATTAATTTGTTCTTGGTTGATTTCCAGAAATCATGAAGAACAAAATAATTGATTATCCTTTAAGATAATCGATTATCTGGTTCTGAAAATGTTATAAATAGTTTTCACACTTTGAAACTTCAGAACAAGAAAAAAAAATAGAGAATGAGTTGATAATGAAAAAGAGAAAAACGTTATTGTGAAGTCTTTGTGACCTTCTTGGAGTATCTTCTTTGTGAAACCAAGAAGTAAAACATTTTTTGAAATACTTTAAAAAGATCATCATCATCATCACATTCTTGAAAGAGAAAGATTGAGATTTGCTTCTGAATTCACAGTCTGATTTTTTCAGCTTCCAGGTGAATTATTTCCTTTAATTCCTTGTGAATAATTGTAAATCTTGAGTAGGTATCTCAAGTGGTAAGGAATTCTTGTAGTGGGTTTCTACAAGAAGTGTTTTCATGGGGTCAAGAAAGTGGTTATCTTGAATGTAGGAGTATATATGCTTGTAAAACTTATTCATTGAGATAGTGGAACAAATCTTGATCAGGTTATGATTGAGGACTGGATGTAGGTCATATGTGGAGTGGCTGAACCAGGATAAAAGACTTGTACACTCTTCTCTTACCCTTAACTTTTACTTTGAGTGATATCTTGGTTGTGTTAAAGAGAATAATCTTGATTAACATGTTTGTATGCACAATATTTCTTTAAACTGAATCAAATTTTGCATATTGATTGTTCTTAACTTTGAACTTTATCTAAGATTAATCAAGAAAGCATATAAGATTCATTTTCATTAGCAAGTCTTTTAAGGAACTTCTTTGAAAATTCATATTAGAAAAGTTTGAATTGAAATAAAGATCCTAAGAACTCTGAAAATTAAGACTTCACAATAACGTTTTTCTCTTTTTCATTATCAACTCATTCTCTATTTTTTTTTCTTGTTCTGAAGTTTCAAAGTGTGAAAACTATTTATAACATTTTCAGAACCAGATAATCGATTATCTTAAAGGATAATCAATTATTTTGTTCTTCATGATTTCTGGAAATCAACCAAGAACAAATTAATCGATTATTTTGTAGGATAATCGATTATTCCAGAGAGTGATTCCTGGGATAATCGATTATTTCACAAATAATTGATTATTACAGCAAGGCATCCTTTTCACATGTTGCTGGAATAATCGATTATATTTAATGAAAATCGATTATTTTGAGTCACAAAAACTCTATTTTATATCTCAAAATAACTTTTCAAGTTTCTAACTCATCATCATACTCATTCTTAGTCAGAATAGATAAAGATTGACTCATGCACAAAGCACACACATGCAAAATAAGCTAAAAAAAAAAATACAACTTATGAGCTACTCCTATTACACATCATAATAGTCATATTTTCTTCTTGACTTTGTTTTTGACTTGTTGATGTCTTTTGTCAGCTTTGAGTCTCATAAATCAAAATCAAAATCAAGAAAAGATATCCTTCTGAAGCAAGTTGGATAGTGGAAGGGCTTTCTTGCTGAAGTCATTAATGAAACGCCTGTAGAAACCTGCATGGCCAAGAAAAGATCGCACCTCTCGAACGCAAGAGGGGTAAGGCAATTGTGCAATGACAGATATCTTTGCAGGGTCAACCTGAATGCCCCGACTGGAAATGATATGCCCTAAAACTATACCCTGCTCTACCATAAAATGACATTTCTCAAAATTAAGAACAAGGTTAGAAAAATAATATAAATACATATATCATTACCTACATAATTCCTCTCGATATACTACCGTAAATAAATATTTAGTAACTTTGTGTATTTTTTTTTAAATATAATAGATGATTAAAATAAAATATGTGTAGGTGAAACAACTAAAGGATCCAAAATTGGGGTGATTGTAGAAAGTTTTTCCAAATATTGAGCTGTGTGCCTGAAATTACATATGTGAACAATATTACCAATGTTCAGACACTACAAAAACTACAATGAAGAAGCAAAAGAACATAAACAACTTATACAAGGTGTGAATTAGCACATTCTAACTCCTGGGTTATGCTAAGTTGTTCTTTTTGTCCATGTGTTGTTACGTCTTGGAAGTTGGTACTTCCATAGACACCATCACCTCATCTCAGTTCATGAAGGACCCTGATACTCTAAGTTCCAAAGATGGTAACTTCACATTGGGGTTCTTCACCCCTCAAAACTCCTCAAACCGCTACGTTGGAATTTGGTGGAAGTCTCAATCCACAGTTGTCATATGGGTGGCTAACAGAAACCAAACACTGAATGATTCTTCTGGAGTTGTTACAATTTCCGAAGATGGCCATCTTGTGGTGCTAGATACCAAGTTGTAAGTTGTTGTTGTACACTTGTGTTGTGATCATCAAAACTTCTTTAGGCTTCAAGCTCTCCTAAGCTCAACAGTGTTGTCCTTATCTGAAAAAGTGATGTACTTTTTCTAACACATGCATGCTTTTGCTTTTGCGTGCTTTTCTTCTTCTTCTTCTCTTCATTTGATCACACGTTTACGTTGAGAGCATTTGAGTGATTATAGACGATGCCTTGATTTGTCTTTTGAGACTTGATTCTTTAATTGCTTGCGTGACAGTTTTTATCTACGTCTGTTGGTCCTATGCATCTCAATCTGTGATTTTCGTCTGAGCATTTGAGTTTAATGCTTTGACTTTCTTTTGATTTGGTCAACATTACAGATGGACAGACTTTTGTTCTTTGTTTGAAGTGTCTTACAGTTTGTGTTGTCCTTCGTCTTTTATGTTGTTTACTTTCTTCTGATCTTTGACTCATGCTCTGTCTATTTTCTTATGTTGCACTGGGGGTTGTCCTTGACATACCTTCATCTGATGTTGGACTTATAGTTGTCTGGCGCACGCATTATACTTTGTCTGTTCAGTTAGCTTGATTTGTTTGATTCTCTGATGTGCGTTGCCTTGACTTTTCTTTTTATCAGAGTTGGCCATTTGGTTTCATCTGATGTTTAACCCATCTTTCTCTTGTTCCAGATTTAGCCATGTTTTGGCTTTTTATTTGATACTTCAATGTTTCGGCTTGTAGTAGGCCTCGTCTAGTGTTTGTTGAATGTTCTTCTATTTTTTATTTGACCTAATCTTAATATATAGAATTTTTGTTTATTTAATTAGTAGTAACAAATATATATTCCACCATATATAAATAAAATAAAAATATAATATATTAATTTAGTAATAATATTATTAGTATAAATTTATTATTAACACTAGTAATAAAAAGGGTATTTCGTATCTACTTTAAAAAATTTAAACATTTTTTAAATAAGTTAATAATTACTATTTTTTTAAAAATAGTTATTATTTTTTCATGCATTCCTTTCCTAATTTTATCTTTAGATATATTGGTGGAAAAAAATTATAATACAAATATATGTAAAGGTATAATTATCTTTGGAAAATAGACACTAAATGAAGATATTTTTGTTCATATATTGTTAGATCTATACAATGTTTTATTTATTAATTAGTAATAAATATATGTAAAATTTTAGTACTATTTAAGGTATATATATATATATCACATATACATTAAAAACAATTGTGAATACAAGAGATTTTATGCTATTGCGACTAGTTTGAAAAATATGATCAGAAGAGAACTTGTCATGCAAGCATTTTAATTAAAAAGAGATTTAATTCCAAAAAAATCAAAAACCAATGATTGAAGCACTTAACTATTGGAAAGACTCATTATTGTCGCATATACAACAATATCTTAAGGGAGTTAAAAGTTGCAGATTTACGGTTATTCTCCCTCACATATTACTTTTCCAAAAAAAGTAATCAGAATAAACATTTTGCATGGAAAGGAAATGGGATGTGATTAATCAAGAGAGACTATATGAAAGCATTTGTAACAAAACCTTAAACTTACATCTGTTTTAGCAGAATCGGTCGAGTGATAAGCATCTGAATCCGGTGTTTGCATTGTCTCCAATCCATAAGCACTAGGTGACACTGCTGAATGTAGTGTCTGCTCAATTTCCATATCAAATGCATCAACAGGAGATGTATCAGGTATTGGCACTTCAGAGGTTTGGTCAATAGGAGCTATTAGCCCTTCAAAGGGTTGGTTAGTAGCGGCCATTGGCTCTTCAAGGGATTCAATAGTAGCAGCTATTGGCTCTTCAGGGGGTTGGTTAGTTGGAGAAAGAATTTCAGCCATACTAGCATCTGCATGATCTTCCTCAAAGATCACCAAATGGGGTCTTGAACGTACATATTCACTTTTGGATATGTCCATAAGATCCTTGCAAACCCCTGAACACAGCCATAAGTTCAGATCACAATTTTAAAAAGTTACAACGTACCCCAATCGGCAAAAATAGAAGATAGAAATCAGCCTACCAGTTAACAAGGGCTGGTCAAAAATGTGTTCTTTTCTTCGACTATTGTTCAATTTCCATCTACCCAAACTAGAGGAAGGAAGATCCTTTCTTTTCCGCAGTATATTACGAGGGTTATTAAGTGCCTTCCTCATGAATCTACAAAGACACATATACATATGAGTAACAACCATAGCAAGAACAGAAACTTATAACTACACAGGTATGAACTATATAAGTTGCATGAGGAAGCAATTCAACAAAAACAAATCTTAAATTATTACCCATTTGTTAACACTATGGATTCATCGAAGAATTGTTTTCTTTTTCTTGTTCTCCGCTGCGGCTGCTGTATGGGTGGACTTTTATCAAGCTCAAAAGGGGGGAAATTATTCTCTGAAACAGTGAAGGAAGACAAAAGTAAAGTTTTGTATTTCTAGGATCTATATGAAACGCAAGAGACATAAATAGATGCGCACAGACCATCATGAATTTGTGCATTGGAGGTGCCCCCTTGAGAGGTTGGTGGAGTAGGTGGATTAAAATGTAGCTGAGATGGTACAGGAATCCCTTCAGGAACCAAATCACAAAACGTTTCAGAAACATGATCATTTTCATTCACAGTTTGGTCATGATTTCTGTTTGATTCAGAATCATTAGCCCCAAGATTTGAAAATAATGGAGATTTTTCTGGATTAATATCATTGTAGGGACCCCGAATACGTTCCACTGATCCAACTGGGGTTGCGTGTGGAACACTATGAACATTGGGTCCCAACCCATCACTATGCTGGATAGTTGGCGATTTTTCGTGGGTACTTGGACCATGATCTTTAGCACCCATGACATTCATTGGTGGAGATTGAGCAATAATGCTGTAGGAACAAATCAATGTATTATCTCATTGGCCATAAGCCCAAAAATAGAAAAACCAAAATGCATTCATGCGTACTTTTCCATTGGTATAGCTACAGAATCAGGTAGCACTTCTGTTAGTATAGCTCCAGAATCAGGTGACACTTCTGTTAGTATAGTTCCAGAATCAGGTAGCACTTCTGTATGTGAAGAATCCATCATTATATCCTAAACACAAAAAAAAGTACAGTGAGTGAAACAAATTTGCTATTCCAAAACCACATCATTCAAAAAAATAATAGAAGTTACACACAACACTGGTAACATAAAGGGAATAAGGCTGCACCTCATCAAAAGATACAGTCACATAATAATCTGCTGTGACAGGAACTTGATCTGCAAATTCACAAGTGTCAGAAGATCCTCAACTTCTATGTGCTCACAAAACTTTGAAGTGGCAGGCAATGAGTACATAATCAAATTAGTCCCTCAAGACTGAAAGACATAGATTGCCATACTACTCACTGAAAAATGGAAAACACCCATGGTCCCCAAATGTCCATTTATATGGTTAAACAAGACTTCATATCACTGACTTCCCATCAACTAACAAACTAAACATAGGGGACTAACTCAATGACTACATACATAGTGATTGAAACACTAAAACCAATTTTCATCTTTCAAAGAAACTAACATGACTGACCGACTCCAAATCTTTCTTCCACTGATACAATGTTCCCCTCAAACACAAATTCAAGCTTTTAAAGAATGGTAGACCACCGCAATTTTCAGTTGCAACAACAAGGCTCTTGAGTGCCCGTGACCAAAATGTGACCACCAAGTGTGGCTTCATTGACCACATTCGTCCACATTATACAATTATTTCACAACCACAACTCACAATTTAAAATTTAAAACCTTCAGGGACTAATTAATTGCTTATTCTAACCAACAGTAATACAACTCATTCAATCAAAAAACCTGTTATCGTAATATCTTCTGGATTCCTCAAGTGAAGATCCTCACCCCTGAAACATAAACCCAATTATCCATGAGAGTGAACACAAATCACACCATAAAAAAACTAAAGATTAAATTACACCGACACTCCCTAAAATTGTATATACAACCCTATTCTTTTCTAATCTTGCAAGCTTCCTTGATTATTTGAAAAACATTACACTAACACCCATCAGATATTACACAAAGGCATGCATACACGCTAACCCCAATTAGGGAAATTGTTTTAAACATAAAAAAAGCTCGAAAGTTGTGTGCAATCTCACCAAACTTCATGGATTGTCAGTATAATTTGCTCAAAACTAAACCAAGCAAAAAATAAAAGTGAAAAGGGTAATAAATTGTTACCTATCATGATCTAATTGGAGGTCTATGTTCTGGGCATCAAGGTCAAAGGTTTCCGGCAGAGTGATGATACTAAACGGCACAGGCCTAGCTTCTTCTTGATGAGTAGTTTTGAGATTATCTAAGGCTTTGTGGAGACCCGTCAAGGCTTCTTTGCAATCTTGGAAAAAGTATTCCACTTTCTTGGAGTATATCCGAACCACGCCGAGGAGAAGGTGCCCCGACATTCTGAGCGCGATGGGAACACCAGGGTCCATGATGCGCACTGAACAACAACGAGAACAAAAACAACACAAGAAACAAAAACCTAATCAGGAACAAAATGGAAGGTTGGACAATGTTTGGGATCGGAGAAACGACAGCGTTTTACTTACGGACGGTGGAAGGGATGTCGGTCATGGCGTAATGCGATTTTTTGAGGCGGTGCTGGAGGTGCGCGGCGATCCACACCGTTGAGAGAGGGCCTTTTCGCGCCAAAAATGTGTTTGAATAGAACATGTTTTTGGAGGTTTCCACTGAACTAGAATTGGTTGAGAAGGAAGAGGGATTGAGGTTTTGGTTTTTTGATTTGTTACATAATATAAATAAAATAAAAATAATAATAATATCGGAAATTATAAATAAAATAAAAATAATAATAAATTATAAACAATAACCAAATATTAAAAATAAGGATAAAAATATAAACTAAAATATTTTGTTTAGATTTGTTTTTAAATATTAAAAAATTAATTTTAAACTAATTATATCATCGAATAAATTCCTTCTTGAGAAATTTATGTTAATATTATATTATAAGTATAATGATTATTTTAAAAATAATACTTTTTAAGTATATATATATATATATATATATATTAAAAAATAACAATAAAAATATTATTAACTTTTTATAAATAAAAAAAAATAAACATACAACTTTACTTCCTTTTCCTTTTCTAAGGAACAATAATAATGAGTAAACTTGAGATTTTCATTATCTTGGAATATCTAAAAAAATAAATAACAACTTCGTTCCAGCATAATTAAATTAAGATAATAAAAAAATCTTAAAAATAACAAATTCAAATATATATCTATATTCTTCTAAATAATATTATTTTTTCTATAAAATAAAAGTAATCAAACAATTTAACTTTCTATTCCTTCTCTAACAAACAATAATAAGTGGTAAATTTAAGATTCTCTTCATCTTAAATTCTTCTACAAAAGTAGGTAACAATCACTAAAAAACAAAAATAACAACAAATTTAATGATTTCAATTAATTTTAAAAAAAAAACTGTAATCTATAAACAAAATACTTTCTTTAATTGCTAAGGATAAAAATTAGAAAATATTTTTTTTGATAAATATATTTTTTTTCACATTATTATTATACTTCTCTCTAAATAATTACCTATTTAATTATCTTTTAATTTATTTTGCTTTTTAAAAATATAAGGAACATTTGTATCTCGTTACTGGTATTTATGTATTGTTGAGCGTATAACCACAACCTCTATATAAATTATATTATTGTATTTATTTAATTATTTGTAACATGCTTTTTTCATGAATTAATTTATTGGAAGATGAACATATTCGTCTAATATCCAAAGCATTGATAACTTGATAAAAGAATGGTAAAAATTTATATATTGTATACAAAAGTAGGAGTCAAATAGAGAAATAGACAAACAACTCATTTTATAAAGTATAAACAATTATGCGTACCTGATGTTGCGTAGAGGTGAAGACTATAACAAGCAAATCACAATAAAGTAACAATAGATGCAAAAATTGATAAAGAAGGTAGTGAATCAACGATGAAGTATGAAAACTCATTCTTCTATTTATATAAGTGGTATGACACTTTTGAAATATTAATAAATTTTATCTTTTAAAACCTATTTGTTTATTATGATGAGATAATATATAAAAAGATAAAAACAAAATATAATAACAAGATATAGTTTTATCATATTTACTATTTGATACGTAACAAATAATAATATGATAAATTACAAATTATATTCAAATAATAAAATATTGTTCAATTACGGTTACATATAATTTTGTAAAAAGTAATTGAAATTTCATTTTATAATTTTTTTTATAAATTAAAAAACAATAAAAAAATATAATTTCAACTAAATTATAAAAAAAATAAATATGATTTTTCATACACGTAATTAACTTCTTAAAATCATAAAATAATTATTATCTTTAAAAAGTATAATTAATATTTTAAAAACTTAGTTTATAAATTTTTTGAATAATAATTATTTAATCGTAAAACTTCAATTAATAAAATTCTTTTTTAAATTTATAAGTTAAAAAATAATATAAATACATATATCATTACCTACATAATTCCTCTCGATATACTACCGTAAATAAATATTTAGTAACTTTGTGTATTTTTTTTTAAATATAATAGATGATTAAAATAAAATATGTGTAGGTGAAACAACTAAAGGATGTGATTTAATATAACTACCTTAATCCTTAAAAATTGATTAAAATATGTTTTTAGTAAAAAAAGTTTAAATATTAAGGAAAGTCACACACCACACGAATTTCTTTCAAAATTTCTAGTGATACTATTACAAATAATATATAGAATTTTTGTTTATTTAATTAGTAGTAACAAATATATATTCCACCATATATAAATAAAATAAAAATATAATATATTAATTTAGTAATAATATTATTAGTATAAATTTATTATTAACACTAGTAATAAAAAGGGTATTTCGTATCTACTTTAAAAAATTTAAACATTTTTTAAATAAGTTAATAATTACTATTTTTTTAAAAATAGTTATTATTTTTTCATGCATTCCTTTCCTAATTTTATCTTTAGATATATTGGTGGAAAAAAATTATAATACAAATATATGTAAAGGTATAATTATCTTTGGAAAATAGACACTAAATGAAGATATTTTTGTTCATATATTGTTAGATCTATACAATGTTTTATTTATTAATTAGTAATAAATATATGTAAAATTTTAGTACTATTTAAGGTATATATATATATATCACATATACATTAAAAACAATTGTTGGGTTGGTGGTTAAGTATTATACTTAGAGGTACGTATCAATTTTTTATATTTTACAATAGCACAATTATAAAAATAAAAAAAATTCTAACAATCAAGCACGGATCTATTTGTATGAGAGTGGGGGCACTTGCCCCCATTAAAATTTTACTTTTTCCTATTTATATATATATATATCATATTTTAATTTATTAAAAAATTGTTAAGTAATGATATATATTTGATAGAGATATGATTCTTGTTACTAAAAACTATTTTTACAAATATTATAGACACAATATATGTTGATATATTGTTAAAAGGTGTAAATCTAGACTACGATGACATTTTTTGTATGTAACTATATGTTACATTTCTTATAATGATTATTTTTACTCTATTGTGTAATTTCTTTCACTTTATGACAAAATTATCTTAATTTTTTTTATTACTATAATATACTTTTATTTTTTGACTGAAAGATTTATTACTTCTTTATTCATTAAAGATGTCATAATTTAGTTTACAAATATAAGTTATTTTTCAATTTTTATTTTAGTACTCTTTAACCGTTTTGATCTTGTATATGTATATTGTGTGTTGGTTGGTGATGATCCAAATTAAGAGAAATGAGAATAATTGTCACACAAAATTTTATATTTTTTTTACTTAAACATATTTACTAAAAAATAAATTTACTCCTATAAAAAAATAGGTGTTGTTCTCATAAAATATTTTTATTGTAAATGAACATAAAAATTTAAAAGAAATAAAAAAGAAAACAAATAGTAAATATATTATCTTTATCTAATAATTTATACAATTTTGTTTATCTAATATGAAATAAATCACTAGAAATTACAAAGTTACACTTAAATATAATATCATGCAAAAAAAAATTGTTACTTTATTTATGGGAAATTTTAATTTATAAAAAATAGGTATATTAAATTTTATCACAAAAATATATTTTTCTATAATACTATTATATTTTTTAATAAAAAAATTATAAAATATATCTTAATATTATATACTTTTTTCAGTGACAGCAAATTGGTTGATATGACAAAACACCTTTTTATATGTTAATGTTATTGGCATTAATTAGAGAGTATTTTTTTCAACGATATTTAATGCGTTGATATTTAAAAACATCTTTTCGCAATAATTGTGGCATTGTTGGCATAAAAAAAACATTTCCTGTGACATCCTCTACCCCATTATTAATACACAATAAATG